CTCCAGTCAAAAGGCATAGGGTATCAGAATGGATTAAAAAAAAAAAGACCCATCCCTATACTGTTTACAAGAGATTCATCTTCAACGCAAAGGCACCTCCAGATTGAAAGTAAGGGGTGGAGGGATGCCTGGGTGGCTCAGTGGTTGGGCATCTGCCTTCAGCTCAGGGCATGGTCCTAGAGTCCCAAGATCGAGTCCCACATCAGGCTCCCCTCAAGGGGCCTGCTTCTCCCTCTGCCTATGTCTCTGCCTCTCTCTCGGTGTCTCTCACAAAAAAATAAATAAAACCTTAAAAAAAAGAAAGTAAGGAGAGCCATTTATCATGCTAATGGAAATCAAGAAAAAGCTGGAGTATCCATACTAATATCAGACAAACTAGATTTTAAACCAAAGACTGTAATAAGAGACGAAGAAGGACACTATGTCATAATAAAAGGGTCTAGCCAGCAAGAAGATCTAACAATTGGAAATATCTATGCACCCAACTTGGAAGGAGCCAAATATATAAAGGAATTAATAACAAAATTAAAGAAACTCATTGATAATAATACAATAATAGTAGACCCTAACACTGCACTCACAGAAATAGAAAGATCACCTAAGCAGAGTATCAACAAGGAAACAAGGGCTTTGAATGATACACTGGACCAGATGGAGTAACAGATATATTCAGAGCATTTATCCTAAAGCAGTAGAATACACATTCTTTTTGAGTGCACATGGAATGTTCTGCAGAATAGATGACATACTGGGTCACAAATCAGGTCTCAAACAGTAGCAAAAGATTAAGATTTTACCATGAATAGTTTCAGGAAAAAAAATGCTTTGAAACCTCAAGTCAAACACAAGAAAAATTTGGAAGGAACACAAATACATGAAGGTTAAAGAGCATCCTACTAAAGAGTGAATGGGTCAACCAGGAAATAAAAGAATTTTAAAGATACATGGAAGCAAGTGAAAATGAAAACACGACAGTTCAGAACCTTTCGGATGCAACAAAGGCATTCGGAGGGAAGTATACAGTAATATAGGCCTTTCTCAAAAAACAAGAAAAGTCTCAAATACAAAACCTAACCTTACACCTAAAGAAGCTAGAAAAAGAATAGCAAATAAAGCCTAAAACTAGCAGAAGAAGGGAAATAATTAAGATTAGAGCAGAAATCAATGATACAGAAACAAAAAACCCCCAATAAAACAGATCAACAAATCTAGGAGATGGTTCTTCAAAATAATTAATAAAATCAATAAACCCTTTAGCCAGACTTATCAAAAAGAGAAAGTACCCAAATAAATAAAATCACAAATGAAAGAGGAGAGATCATGACCAACACTACAAAAATACAATTATAAGAGGATATTATGAACAATTATATGTCAACAAATTAGGCAATCTGGAAGAAATGGATGCATTCCTAGAAACATTTAAAAAATGACCAAAACTGAAACAGGAAGAAATAGAAAACCTAAAGAGACACATAACCAGCAAGGGAATTGAATCAGTAATCAAAAATCTCCCAACAAGAGTTCAGAGCTGGGTGCCTCCCAGTGGAATTGTGACATTTAAAGAAGAATTAATACCTATTCTGAAACCATTTCAAAAAATAGCAATGGAAGGAAAACTTCCAAACTCATTCAATGAGGCTAGCATTACGTAGATCCCAAAACCAAAGACCCCAACAAAAAGAATTACAAACCAATATCCCTGATGAACATGGATGTAAAAATTCTCACCAAGATACTAGCTAATAGGATCTAACAGTACATTAAAAAATTATTCACGATGACCAAGTGGGATTTATTCCTGTGCTGCAAGTGTGGTTCAACATCCACAAATGAATCAATGTGATATGCCACATTAATAAAAGAAAGGATAAGAACTCTATGATCCTCTCAATTGATGCAGAAAAATCATTTGACAAAATACAGCATCCTTTCTTGATTAAAACTCTCCACAGCGTAGGGACAGAGGGAACATACTTCAATATCATAAAACCACATAAGAAAAACGCACAGCAAATATCACTCTCAATGGGGAAAAACTAAGAGCTTTTCCCCTAAGGTCAGGAATATGACAGAGATGTCCACTCTCACCACTGTTGTTAAACACAGTACTGGAAGTCCCAGCCTCAGCAATCAGACAACAAAAAGAAATAAAAGACATACAAATTGGCAGAGAAGAAGTCAAACTTTCACTCTTCACATATGACATGATACTCTATGTAGAAAGTCCAAATGACTCCATCAAAAAATTGTCAGAACTGGTGCAGGAATTCAGCAAAGTTGCGGGATACAAAATCAATGCACAGAAATCAGTTGCATTTCTAACACTAACAATGAAGCAGAAGAAAGAAATAAAGGAACTAATCCCATTTACAATTGCATCCAAACCTATAAGATACCTAGGAATAAACCTAACCAAAGAGGTAAAAGATCTGTACTCTGAAAACTATAGAACACTTGTGAAAGAAATTGAGGAAGGTAAATAAATGGGAAAAACATTCCATGCTCATGGATTGGAATAACAAATATTGTTAAAAGGTCTATGCTACCCAAAGCAATCTACACATTCAATGCAATCCCTATCAAAACACTATCAACATTTTTCACAGAGCTGGAACAAAGGATTTTAAAATTTGTATGGAATCAAAGACCTGGAGTAGCCAAAAGAATGTTGTAAAAGAAAACCAAAGCTGGAGGCATCACAATTCCAGATTTCAAGCTGTATTACAAAGCTGTCATAATCAAGATAGTATGGTATTAGCACAAAAACAGACACATAGATCAATGAAACAGAACAAAGAACCCAGAAATGGACCCCTAACTCTATGGTCAACTAATCTTTGACAAAACAGGGAAGAAAATCCAATGGAAAAAAGTCTCTTCAACAAATGATGTTGGGAAAATTGGACAGTCACATGCAGAAGAATGAAACTGGACCACTTTCTTACACCATACACAAAAATAAACTCAAAATGGATGAAAGACCTAAATATGAGACAGGAAACCACCAAAATCCTACAGAACACAGGCAGCGACCTCTTCGACCTTGGCTGCAGTAACTTCTTGCTAAACATGTGTCTGGAGACAAGGGAAACAAAAGCAAAAATGAACTACTGGGACTTCATCAAGATAAAAAGCTTCTGCATAGCAAAGACAACAGTCAACAAAACTAAAAGGTAACCTATGAAATGAGAAAAGATATTTTCAAATGTCTTATCAGATAAAAGGCTAGTATCTAAAATCTATAAAGAACTTATCAAACTCAACACCCCCCAATAAAACTCCAGTCAGGAATTGGGCAGAAGACATAAACAGACATTTCTCTGAAGAAGATATACAAATGGCCAACAGACACAAGAAAAAATGCTCAACATCACTAGGCGTCAGGGAAATCTAAATCAAAACCACAATGAGATACTATCTCACACCTGTTAGAAATAAACAACTCAGGAAACAACAGATATTGGTGAGGATGTAGAGAAAGGTAACCCTCTTACACTGTTGGTGGGAATGTAAACAGTATGCAAGTTCCTCAAAAAGTTCAAAATAGAGCTACCCTATGACCCAGTAATTGCACTATTAGGTATTTATCCAAAGGATACAAACATAGTGATTCAAAGAGGCCCATGCACCCCAATGTTTATAGCAGCAATGTCCACAACAGTTAAAATTTGGAAATAATCTAGCTATCCATTGACAGATGAATGGATAGTGAAGAAGTGGGTGGAATATTAACATATATATAATGGAATATTACTCAGCCATCAATAAGAATGAAATATTGCCATTTGCAAAGACATAGAACTAGAGGGTATTATGCAAAGCGAAATAAGTCAGAGAAAGACAAATATTTCACTCAAAGGTGGAATTTAAGAAACAAAACAGATGAACATAGGGGAAGGGAAGGAAAAATAAAATAAGATGAAAACTGAGAGTGAGGCAAACCATAAAAGATGCTCAACTCTAGCAAACAGGTTTGCTGGTGGGGAGGTGGGCAGGGGCAATGGGGTAACTGGGTGATGGGCATTAAGGAGGGCACTTGATGTAATGTGTACTGGGTGTTATATGCCAACTGCTGAATCTCTAAACTCTAGCTCTGAAACTTTTTTTTTTTTTAAAAAGGGCACATCAGTTCTGTGGTATTCTTAACAAAAACATATAATCTCAGTCTAAAACAGGAAATTATCAGACAAGCCCTAATTAGGGACATTCTACAAAATAACTGCAAGAAATAATAAATGCCATGTGGGATACTGGATTTGAACCTGGATCCAAAAAAAAAAAAAGAAAGAAATTAGTGGGACAAATGGAAAAAAAATAAAGTCTAAACTAATACTGTATTGATATTATTTTCCTGCTTTTTGATAATTATATTATGGTTATATAAAGTGTTAACATTAGGAGAGGCTTGGTGAAGGATATATGGTAACTCTTGCTATTTTTGTGATTTTTCTATATATCTCAATTTTTTTGTCATTTATGTTTCTATAACTTATTTACCCATTTTTATTGCATTATTGACTTTTTTACATTAAGAAAATTATATATTATTGTATAATAAGGAAATTAGCTCTTTGTGGATGGCAAATTTTTTTTAATTTTTTTTAAATTTATTTATTTATGATAGTCACAGAGAGAGAGAGAGAGGCAGAGACATAGGCAGAGGGAGAAGCAGGCTCCATGCACCGGGAGCCCGATATGGGATTCGATCCCGGGTCTCCAGGATCGCGCCCTGAGCCAAAGGCAGGCGCCAAACCGCTGCGCCACCCAGGGATCCCTGTGGATGGCAAATTATTTTCTAGTTTGTCTTTTGACTTTTTTATGGTGGGTTTATATGTGTATGTATACATAGATGTTTTTAACCGATGATTTCTCCTGACCTATGTGCAGAAAATAAGGAAGAGTAGCTAAGTGACTTTAAGTCTTCCATGTAATCAAAAGACCATAGAATAGAAACAGTACTTTATGAAAATGACTTTACGAAACTTGTTCTTCTCTCCATCAAAAATTATATTTATTTAAAAATTCACATATAGTAAAATTAATCCTTTCTTGAATATAATTTGTTTTGACAAATGCATACAGTCAAATAACTATAATCAAGACAGAAACTTTCCATTATTAAAACAAATTCCTTGTGCTACCATTTTGTAATCAGTCTGCCATTTTTAACCCCTGACATCCACTGATTTGTTCTCTGTTCCTATAGTTTTGCCTTTTCCATGATGTCATATAAATGGAATCGAACAGTAAGTAGCCTTTTGAGTTTGGCTTCTTTTACTTAGCAAAATGCATTTGAGATTCATCTAAGTTGTTGCATGTATTGCAGTTCATCATAGTTTTTATTGCTGAGTAGGATTCCATTATATGGCTATCCCACAGTTTATGCACCAGTTGAGGGAGATCCTCCATTTTTATTTTCCTCTATTGTTAGTGACCTGCAGGTCTAGCAAAGGGAAGAGGTGAGATTTTCCATTCAACAGGAGTAAGTTTCTTCTGAAAAGTCCAGCTTAGAAGTATGTCCTTGGGTAACATGTGCAAGAGGTTATACCAGGATAACTTACTTCTTCCCCTTATACTATACTTAAAATTGAAGAGTTAATATTAAGTGAGCAGTATATCAAAGGAATAGGAGTTTGTCCTGAGTATAGTTAGATGATATCCTCAGAGCAGGCCTGACAAATATTCTGGAAGCCAAGTCATTTGTAGAGTATCAAAATTCTTTTTAATTAAAAAAAAACTGAAAAAGTAAAAATCACCCCAAATAACACGACTTTAAAAATTTTATAAAGCAAAAGTCTCCTTTCAGCCTATGTAATCCCACTTCTAAAAGGTTTACAATTTGGTACATATATTTCCCAGCTTTTTCCTAAATTTATTCAGAAATACCTATATACACATGTATCATACATATACAAATGTTTTTGTTTATAAAAATGCATTCATATTATATCATTTCTTACTTTGTAAATAAATACAAAATTCTGCATACCATACAGATCAGAATGTATTCATAGATATACCCCATTATTTTAATGGATGTATAATATTCCATGAAATGAATGTGTCATAATTTATTTTTCATTTACCTATTGATGGACAGTTGGGTTGTATCCAATTTCTTTTTTGGTGACTTTGAGATATAATTCATATACATACAATTCACCTATTTAAGGTACACAATTCATTATTTATAGTATATTCATAGAGTTTTACAATTATCACCATAATCAATTTTAGAACACTTTAATCAACCTCTAAAGAAACCTCATACAATTCTGCTATTACCCCAGCCCTGAGCAACCACTAATTCACTGTCTCTATATATTTAGCAATTCTAGACACTTCATATATATGGAATCATATAATTATATAGTCTTTTGTAACTGGCTTTTTTTTATTTAGCATGCTTTCAGGGTTCTTCCATGTTTGTAGTATATTATTAGAAGTGCTCCTTCTCCTTTTTGGAAGAGTATGTAAAGAATTTGTATTAATTCTTTAATGTTTGCTAGAATTTATCTGAGAAGCCATTTGAGCCTAAGCTTTTTCTTGTGGGCATTTTGAAAAATTATTAATTGATCTCTATGCTTATTATAGACTTTTATGGATTCTGTTTTCCATTGGTTTCAGTAGTTTGTGTGTTTCTAGGAATTTTTCTATTTCATCTAAGTTATCTAACTTATTGATATATAAATGTGCATAGTTTTCCTTCATACTTTTTTATTTCTAAAAGGGTGGTAGTAATGTTCCCTCCTTCACTTCTGATTCCAGTAATTTGAGTCTTCTTTTTTTCCTGGTCAATCTAACAAAAGGTTTGTCACTTTTGTTGATATTTTTTATAGAACCAACTATTAGCTTCATTGACATTCTCTATTGTTGTTATATTCTCTGTCATTTATTTATCTAATCTTTTTTATTTATTTCCTTCTCCTTGCTCTAAGTTTAGTTTGCTCTTCTTTTCCCAGTGTCTTAGGCATAAGACATATTGATATGTGATCTTTCTTGTTAAATATAAGGCATTTGTATTTATAAATTTCTTTCCAAGCACTGCTTTTGGTGCATCCAACATTTTGGTATGTTGTGTCTTTTCATTCATCCCAGGGGATTTCCTAATTTCCTTTGTGATTTTTTTATTTGACCCATTGGGCATGTAATAGTGTGTCTAATTCATGTTTATAAGTTCCTCAACTTTCTGTTATTGATTTCTTTTTTTAAATTTTTATTTATTTATGATAGTCACACAGAGAGAGAGAGAGAGAGGCAGAGACACAGGCAGAGGGAGAAGCAGGCTCCATGCACCGGAAGCCCGACGTGGGATTCGATCCCGGGTCTCCAGATCGCGCCCTGGGCCAAAAGCAGGCGCCAAACCGCTGCGCCACCCAGAGATCCCTGTTATTGATTTCTAACTCTATTCCATGAAGTCATAAAACATGATTTCAGTCCACTTAAATTTACTGAAATTTTTTTTTATGTTCTATGACATGAACCTGGAGATATTTCATGTGCCCTTGAGAAGAATGTATGAATCTGTTTGTGCTGGGTTAAGTGCTTTAAGTTGTTTTTTTTTAATTTTTATTATTTATGAGAGAGAGAGAGAGAGAGAGAGAGAGAGAGAGAGAGAGAGAGAGAGGCAGAGACAGGCAGAGGGAGAAGCAGGCTCCATGCACCGGGAGCCCCACGTGGGATTCGATCCCAGGTCTCCAGGATCGCGCCCTGGGCCAAAGGCAGGCGCTAAACCGCTGCACCACCCAGGGATCCTGGGTTAAGTGTTTTATAAATCACTTTAAGGTCTAGTTCATTATGGCACTGTTCAAGTCTTTTATTTCCTTGTTTATCATCTAATTGTTCTATTATTGAAAATGGGCTGAATACACCAACTCTTATTGTAGACTTGTGTATTTCTCCCTTCGTTTAGTTCAGTTTTTGATTCATGTATTTTGGTGCTCTGTTGTTAGGTATATATATATAATTTTGCTCTTTCTGATGGGTTGACTCTTTTATAATTATGTCAGTTTATATGTCTAATGATATTTTTTGTTTTAAAGTCTATTTTATCTGATATTAATATAGCCACTCCAGTTTTCTTACAGTTGCCATTTGCCTGATATTTCTTTCTATTCTTTTACCTTCAAACTGTTTGTATCTTTGAATATAAAGTGTGCCTCCACCAACAGATAGCATAGAGGTGAATCTTGTTTGTTTTTCCCAGTCTGATCCATTTTCTCAGTTTAATCCATTCATATTTATTGTTATTATTAATACAGGTGGACTTAAGACTGCCATTTTAGTGTTTGTTTCCTGTATGTCTCTGGGTTTGTTTTTGTCTTTCTCTATTCATCCTTTTGCATTGAATATTTTCTAATGAAAAATTTCTTTAATAATATTTTCACTATATATTTTCAGTTAGTTCCATAGTGGTTGCTCTAGGGTTTACCATACAAATCTTAACTGAATTGGCTTCAGACATATAAACTAAATTCCAATTATATGAACACTTTATTCCTATATGAACCTATTTCTCTCTCCATTTTTTGTAGTATTATTATACATATTACTTCTACATATTAACCCAACAATACACTGTTACAATTATTACTTGATATAATTTTATGCCTTTTAAAGAAGCTCAAAGAAGAAAGAAGAGGAAATAAATATTTGATACTTTTATATATTAATTTTGTTTCCCATTTCTTGCTTTCACTTGTTCCTATAGATTTGAGTTACCATCTGGAGTCATTTCTATAGTCCAACACAGCTTTGCTTCCACCCATCTCCTATGTCCTATGATTAGCAAACAAACTGCATTTTATATATTATAAATCCAACAATGCAACTATGTACATATTGCTTTATAAAATTGCTTTTTAAATTATTAAGAGAAGGAAAAATGCATTAGACAGTTTATTCTAATTATGTAATTACTTTTACCCGTGTTGTTTCCCTATGTGTAGATTTAAATTATTATCTGAGGTCACTTCATTCTTTTTTTTTTTAGGTCACTTCTTTCTTACTGAAGAATTTACATTAATATTCCTATTAGGTCTGTCAGCAACAACAGTTTATGACTATGTGGGAAAGCTTGTATCTTATCTTCATTTTTAAAAACACAGCTTTATTGGATGTAGGATTCTATATTGACAGTTGTTTTCTTTGAGCACTTTGAATGTGTTATTACACTGCCACCTCCGTTGTTTCTGATGAGAAGTCAGCTGTTAATCTCATTGGGGTTCTCTTGTAAGTGATGCTTCTTTTTTCTCCTGTCACTTTCAAGAGTTTCCCTTTGTCTTTGAGTTTTATATTTTTCATTTTTGTTATGATGTATCTGTGGATTTCTTCTTTATCCTACTGGGGGTTTGTTGAAATTCTTGAATGTGCAGGTAATGTTTCTCATCAAATATAGAACATTTACATCCATTATTTATTGGAATATTTTTTCTGCTTCTTTCTTTCTCTTCTCTTTTTCTGGTCTTCTCATTACAAGTATGTTGGAGTGCTTAATGGTCCCACTCTGTGTTCAACTTTCTTCATTTTTTTTCTTCCTGTTCTTCAGCCAAAATAATATCCTCTCACTTAATACTTACACCCCAATGAGGTAAGTAGTATTGTTATCCTCATTTTATAGAAAACTGAGGCTCAGATTAAGCGACTTGCCAAGGTCACAAAGTGGTAAGTGTGGTGTGAAGTTCACACAGATCTGATTCCAAAGTTTGTACTACTTCCTCTATATCATACTTTCTTTCTATTCTACAGCAACTACAAACGAACAACTGATGGATTTGGGAATGAGTGGCTCTCTTCTAGAGAATGCTTTCTTCCCACTCTCCTTTAGTATTGTTTGCTAGTATGTTCGTCTTCTAAAATTAATATATCTAATATATTAGATATTCATTCAATGTTTATTGCTTTGAATTCAATGATTACTCAATGGAAGATATCTTAAATGACTATGAGAACATCAACATTTTGGCCTAAATGCTTTCATTAGAAAAATATATAGCTTTTTGAAGACACTGATAACTTTATGGGGAAGCACTCATTAACTATGTGGACTGACTTATGAAAATACATATTGTCACTGATGATAGTTCTCATTCAACAGCATTTGTTGATGTTTAGGCCTGGGGTCTTGGTCATTTATTTACTAGATGGATATAATTAGGGATAAATGAGCTCTAGTGAATAAAATATTTCAACATTTAATTAGTTTTTTAGTTCTGCATATAGGAGGCAATCTTGGAAATAATGTTATCTTCAGGGACAAATATTTAAGACCCCAGATAAATTATAAAGACTTAAAAAATCCTTAGAAATAATCCTTTGTAATTTATCCTGAGAAAATGATACTCTTTGTACCCTATACTTCATACTTTGCATATGTCTGTCCTATATAGTCTTTGATTATAAAAAATGTTTTCTACCAATTCATTCTGAAACTGAGAGGGATTATCTTAGAGTTTTCTCTCCCCCAGTTAGTTTCTCTTCTTCAAATCCAAACAAATTGTTATCTATACACAAATCCTAGATCCAAGATTCTGATCCAAGAAAGACCTCCTGTGACTCACCATCTATATATCTTTTAGCTACCACTGATTTCTGGAGTGTTATCTGTAGCAGATGATATGAGAGAAGTAGCCTGGAGATCTGACCGTTGCTTTCTGTTCTTTCCAAATTCTATCACCAATATTTTCCCACGTAGTTTATATCCATTTACTAGATGTAATGCTTGCCATGCTATCTCCTTATCTAAAAGAGAAAGAAGAAAACATCAATTTACATAGGGCTTAATAATTCTATTCCAAGTCTAGTTTATGTTGTTTTGCCTTGGAGTTAAATATAGGCCATAATGCTACATAGTTATTTAATTTTATTATCTTTTCCATAATCTCAAATTTGTATAACTCAGCAAGGTTAAGAATAATAACAATAAAACTTAAAATGGATGTTTGAGAGTGTCTCCTAATTCAAAGATAAGGGTAAAGAAACAAGAATATAGACAGTGTGTCAAAGAAAGTTAAGCTATGACTAATAAGATACGAACCTCTATCTTAGATAACAGATTACAGGTATTGTGATAATAAAATCATTTTCAAAATGGATGACATGAATAAAAGATGTTATCATGGTACTGAGGACATTTTGTTACTTTTTTCTTTTGATGGCAGAGTGGGAGCCCTCCTTGGGATAAATAAGTTTAAGAATTCTTATAAGCATATGGATGCCTGAGGTGTAAGAGTATACAGTGTATAGCAGGAGTTTTCAATTTATGGGTCTCAGAGCCTAGATGTAAAAAAATTTGGAAGTGGAATCATTGCCCAGAGTATGTGAAATCATAGGTAGACAAGCAATGTCTTTAGACTAAACCAATTTATGTCTCACATATGTATACACTACCAATTTTCAAATGTTATACTGCTGTTTTTAGTAAAACAACTATCTACTTTAAAGTACTTAGTTTATAAAAACCTTTTTATTATATATCTTTTTCAATTAGTGGATCATATTAGCTTGAGGTCAATGAAATATATTTTAAGTTTAAAAAGGGCCCTTATTCCTGATAAGATTGAAAATCACTAGTATGGAAGATCCACAAACCTTCAACATGATAGGAAAGATGATATAAGAATGTATGAAAAAAGTGGAGGGGAGTTTGGTACTGCTTATGTGTAAAAGCACTTGCCTATATGTAGATTACTAGGTCGTTTATCAGTAATGATAGATTAGGGATAATGAAAGCTATATCTCCTACCCAGCTTCCAAAAAAAGAGATAGTCTGGTCTGTTATAGAAAATGGATTTCCTAGATTATTGTTGTCTTTTAATTAGGATACTGAAGTTATGTATTAAGAAGAAACAATAGTTAAAAGAATTTATTATCATCCACTACTTAATTATAAGTTACTAGTGAATCAGCATATTCACTTATATCGTCTCATTGTCCCAAAGGAATAGGGCATAAGGCAAGTATAAGTATTCTGACCAGAATACCAATATATTAGTAAGTAATACAATTATAACTTGAACTAGAAATACTGTCATCAGCAAAGGGAAGGTAAATTTTGATACAGAGAAGGAAGTGTCAAGATTGGGGACAACTGAGGACAATGGGATAAAGTGGCCAAACATGCACTGTCAATGGAAAAGAGGAAGCACAGAAGGGAGGATAGAGGAACACTGAAAACATATTTTCCTTACTTCTCTTTCTTTCCTCCCTTGTGCTTGTTCAAGCACATGCTTTTCATGTGCTATGGAGAAATCAAAGGGCTAGATCTAAATTAGAGAAGGTATATATAAATAGTCTCCAATAAACTGATGCTACAATTAATTGTCCAGATGAAGCTACTTACTGGGAAAGGTGATAAAAGCCTGCCCCCTCATTCGTCCAGTCATGATTCGGAACTGAATTGGCGGTCCTTTTTTCTCCTGGAACCGGGCGAACAATGAGACAAGATCTCTTTCGGTCACCCGAGGGCTAAGGTTCTTCAGGTATAACACCTAAAGGTATAAACCGAGTATCAACAGAAATATCACATAAGGGAGGTAAGGCAACTATTTCACTTTGGTTAAATTTGTTTCAGAAAAAGATGGCAGATTGAATATAGGCATCTAATTTCACTCCCTCCAGAAAACTCTCTAAAACTATAGGGGCATTTAAAAAAAATACAAACCCACAAGATCAGAAAGAACAAGGAAAGGAGGCAATAGCACCAATATTCTGGAAGCTGAAAAATAATTAGATAAATGTACTCAAGAAAGCTGAATCTTAAACCAGCAATGGGGAAAGCCAGGAACCAACCCAATGTACACCTAAGAATCCTCAAACAATTTAGGAGCTGAAAGCTTCAGGTACCTTAAACAATGAATGTAAAGGGATAAGGTGGCTAGATTGAAAGTTGTTTAAAATCCACCTAGACTTTGAAATATTCTCCCCTGAAATTAGCTATTTAGTAAAGATCAATCCCAATTCTGGTGAATACCAGTGGTTCATTTTCTGAATATGGGGAATGCCAGACACAGATGAAGGTGTAAATACTATATCTGAATATAAGGAGATTAAGATAAATAAGACACACTAAATATGATTAGCTCTAAGAGAAAAGATTTTTTTTTAAAAAATACTGATTTGGCATTGGGAATTTCTTCAACAAATGAACCAGCCAGATGGCTTTAACATGAAGCTAAAAGTCAACATGGCCCACTCATGTGCCGAGAACTTCCAATCTGCTTTTTGGCCATTACTCATAAATATGGCACAGAATACCAGGCATCTGAGGAAAGCCTCTTATGTTAAAGAGAGAACAGAACAAACAGAAATGAAAGCAAATGAAAAAAACAGACCATCAAGGTGAAGAAAACTTCAAAAAAAAAAACCCGTCACTAATACTCTCAGAAAAATGAGACAATATTCTATTAGGAATGGAATACTAGAAAAATAAGAACATTCAAGAAAACAAAGAACCCTCCGATGCTATTAAACTTAAGTTCTTATCAGCTTAAGATAGACTGTTATGTTTTAAGTAAGCCCCATTGTAACCCCAAAGAAAATACCTATGTAAGATAAACAAAAGAAAGTAAGAAAGGAAAAATCACATCACTACAAAAAAATCAATGAAACAAAAGGAAATATTAGGAGAGGAAAAGAGGGACAAAGGAACTACAAGACAGAAAACAAATAATAAATGGTGATAGTAAGTCCCTCCCTATCAATAATTATATCACATCTAAGTATTTTAAATTCTCTAATCAAAGACACAGAGTGTCTGAGTGAATAAAAAATCAAGATCCAACTATAGCTGTCTACAAGAAACTGACTTTATATTTTAAGGCTACATATAAGCTAAAAATGAAAGGATAGAGAAAGATATTCCATGCAAATGATAACCAAAAGAAAGCATGGGTGACCATGCTTTTATCAAGCAAAATAGATTTTAAGTCAAAACTGTCAAAAGAGACAAAAATGGACATTATATAATAACAAAAGGGTCAATTCACTGAGAAGATATAACAACTATACATATGCATGCAATGTCAGAGCATCTAAATATATGAAGCAAACAGAGAACTGAAAGGAAAAACAGCAACACAATAATATTAGATTTCAATATACTTCACTTCCAATAGCATACGGAAAACTAGAAAATTCACAAATATGTAGAAATTAAAAGTCATATTCTTGAACAACCAATGGGTGAAAGAAGAAATAACAAGGGAAGTTAGAAAATATCTTGAGGCAAATGAAAACGAAACCACAACATAACATTTATGGGATGCAGTGAGAACTGGGAAGGATTTTTTTTTAAGATTATTTATTTATTTATTCATTCATTCATTCATTCATCATTTATGAGAGAAAGAGAGAGAGGCAGAGACACAGGCAGAGGGAGAAGCAGGCTCCATGCAGGGGGCCCCATGTGGGACTCAATCCCGGAACTCCAGGATCACGCCCTGGGCGGAAGGCAGGTGCTCAACCACTGAGCCACCCAGGCGTCCCAGGAATTTTATAATAATAAATGCCTACATTAAAAAAAGATATCGGGTCTTGAGTTCAAGTTCCACCTTGGGCATTGGAGCCTACTTAAAAAAGAAGAGAAAAAGATCTTAAATAAACAACTCTACAACTTAAGGAACTAGAAAAAGGAACAAACTAAATCCAGAGTTAGTAGAAGGAAAGAAATATTAAAGCATAAATAAAAAAGATTAGAAAAACAATAGAAGAAAAACAACTAATAGCTGTTTTTTTTAAAAGATCAACAAAATTGACTACTTCTAGCAAGACTGAGAAAAAAGAAGACTCAAGTAAAATCAGAAATAAATGAGATGGTACAACTGATGCCACAGAAATAAAAAGGATTGCAAGAAACTACTATGAACAACTATATGTCAATCTAGAAAGATAAATTCTTGGAAACATACAACCTACCAAGACTAAATCATGAAAAAATAGAAAATCTAAAGAGTTTTAGAAAAGCTGTGAGATTTAATCAGTAATCAAAAACCTCCCAGCAAAGGAAAGCCCAGGATCAGATGGGTTCATGAGTGAATTCTACCAAACATTTAAAGAATTACTGCCAATCCTTCTCAAACTCTTCCAAAAAACTGAAGAGGAGGAAACACTCCCAAACTAATTTTATGAGGCCAGCATTACTCTGATACCAAAAGAAAAAAAAGGACATTATAAGGAAACTACACGCCAATATCCCTGATGAATACAGAGGCAAAAATTCTCAACAGAAAAGTAGTAAAATGAATTCAAAAGCACATTAAAAGGATCATATACCATGACCAAGTGAATTATCTCTGGAATATAAGGATGTTTCCATGTATAAAAATTAATGTAATATATCACCTTAACAGAATAAAAGATAAAAATCACATGGTCATCTCAATAGATGCAGACAAAGCACTTGGCAAAATCCAACACACTTTCATGATAAAAATGCTTAAGAAATTAGGAATAGAAGGAATTTATTTCAACATAATATAGGCCAAATATGGAAGGCCCAGAGCTAATGTCATGCTCAACAGTAAAAAACTGAAAGCTTTCCCTCTAAGATCAGGAACAAGTCCAGGATGCCCACTCTTGTCACTTCTATTTAACCTAGTTCTGGAAGTCCTAGCCAGAGCAATTAGAAAAGAAAAAAGAAATAAAGGCATCCAAAATGGAAAGGAAAAAGTAAAATTATCTCTGTTTGTATATGACAAGATCCTATGTGTAGAAAACCCTAAAGAGTCCACAATAGCCAAACTGTGGAAGAAGCCTTGATGTCCATCAACAGATGAATGGATAAAGAAGATGTGGTATATATGTACATATATACATACATGTATACACACAATGGAATATTACTCAGCCATTAGAAAGGACGAATACCCACCATCTGCTTCTACATGGATGGAACTGGAGGGTATTGTGCTGAATGAAATAAGTCAAATGGAGAAGGACAATCATTAAATGGTTTCAGTCATACAGGGAATATAAAAAACCGTGAAAGGAATTACAGAGGAAAGGAGAGAAAATGAGTGGGAAAAATTAGAGAGGGTAACAAAACATGAGAGACTCCTAACTCTGGGAAATGAACAAGGGGTAGTGAAGGGGAGGTGGGTGGGGGGATGGGGTGACTGGGTGATGGGCACTGAGGAGGGTACTTGACGGGATGAGCACTGGGTGTTGTACTATATGTTGGCAAATCAAATTTCAATCAAAAAATAAAATAAAATAAAATAAGAAAGCCCTAAAGAATCCACAATTAACTATTTTAACACAGGTTAAACTAATAAATTCAGTCAAGTTGTAGGACACAAAGTCAACATACAAAACTTAGGAGCAAAAAAAAATATCACCAAAATGAAAAGGCAAAACACAGAATAGGAAAAAATATTTGCGGATCATGTATCTGAAAAAGGATTATATCTAAAATAAATGAGGCTCTTAAAATACGATAACAAAAAACTCCATATAACACAATTTTAAAAATGAGTAAAAGGCCTGCATAGGCATTTCTTCAAAAAGACATATAAGTGGCCAACAGGTATATAAAATGATTCTCAATATCACTAATCATCAAGAAAATGCAAATCAAAACTTCAATGATATATCACTTCACACCTGCTAGGATGGCTATTAATAACAACAACAACAAAAACAAGTGTTGGTGAGGATATGGAGAAATTCTAACCTTTGTACACTGCTTGTTGGAATGTAAATGGGTGTAACCACTATGGAAAACAGTATGGAGCTTCCTCAAAAAATTAAAAATAGAACTAAAATAGAATCCAGGAATCCCACTTCTGAGTATATACCCAAAAGAACTGGGATCAACCTGATGCATGGATAAAGAATATGTGTATAAATACAATGGAATGTTATTTGGCCTTAAAAAAGAAGAAAATCTTGTCATTTGCTACAACAAAAACTTGGAAGACACTATGCTAAGTGAAATAAACCAAATACAGAAGAACAAAAACCACATGAGAATTTGTAGAATACTAAATGGGAATTTGTATCAGGTACCTAACATAGTCAAACTCATAAAAGGAGGGTAGAATCACGTTTACCAGGAGGCTCAGAGGTAGAGTAACTGGGGAGATGTTCATCAAGTGTACACAGTTTCACTAATGCAAGATGAATAAGTCCTAAACATCTACTGTACAACAGAGCACACATAGTTATCAATACTATATTAGATAAAATTTATTGAGGGGATCTTATGTTAAATATTATCAAAAGAAAAAAGGAGGAAGGAAGTTTCTAGAGGTGATGCTTTAAGTTTAGGGCATTGTATATGGTGATGGTTTAATGGTATACACTTATTTTCAAACTCACCAAGATGCATACATTAATATGTACAGCTTTACTGGGTGTTATATGTAAGTGATGAATCACTAAATTCTACTCTTGAAACCAACATTTCACTATATGTTAACTAAAATGTAAATAAAAAATTGGGGCGCCTGGGTGGCTCAGTTGGTTAAGCATCTGTCTTTGGCTCAAGTCA